CGTTCTATACTTAGAACAAGTACGAGTCAGCGGATCGCAATCCGCTTACTCCAAGAGTTATTATTGTCTTTACCCAAGGCTAATTACTCTTCCGTTTGATATCCAAAACTGATTTTTGTTTAATTTTTATCTGCGGCAAAGCCGCCTAATTTAAAGTGTATAGATTTTCCGATATACATAGTAAAATTTTAATTCATGCATAACTACTCGCTACCTAGCCACATACCGTATTCTTGTTTGGGCGCAGTCACACTATGCCCATCTCGTGTGACACACACCCCTGCAGTTAGGGTACGTATAACCCGTTACAAAGATAACCGCATTCCACCTGAAAACACTTGTAGTCGCATCGACGATTGTGTCGCTGATTGATTGGCTTCTCTGTGAGGAGAAAAACAAATTTCTAGCTGTCCCTAGGTATACTAGAAGTGCTTAGTAAACTTATATCTATTGTTGGTCTCTGAGGAGCCAAGAGACTGGTGGTTCAAGCGTCAGATGCAGTAACCACTCGCCGTTAGGTGCTCACCAGCTACGACAATGCACTGTAAAATATACTTTTTGGAACGCCACAACCAGGCATCGGTGTGGCGTTTAAATGGCACCCTCCACATGACCACTAATGTTGAGCATTCAATTCTTGCAGATTGGATCCAGAGAAAATTTTTCATTCCATAGGATGGGAATCGAAAATGACCATAAATTTGGCTATGAATTTGGTCATGGTCCAGACGCAGCAGCATGTCGCATTTGCGGTGTTAAAACTAGGAAGCTGTGCTCGGAAATGGGCAGTATATCTATTGTAGAGGATTTCCTGACCTGGGAAGCTTTGCAGCGACAGATGTCTGAGGTGTTCGCTCCGCCTGACCAAACGTGTCAGATGCGTTCTACCCCGGCTTATACTTTATTTTATAAAATTCAAGGCAAACAAGGACAGCAACCTTGTCATTATCTGTGAGAAATTTGATGACAATGTACAAGTGCATGATGTGCAAACATAACTTAAAGTCAAAGAAATGTTCCCTGAACTTGACAAAATCATACTCCGTGACAACAACTTATTGTCGAAGACAGTGTAGCATTTCTCTACCGCTTCGAGGTCAGCTCTTTCCAAAACATCCGCCTATAACCAAAGTCTGCTTTACTTTTTGAAATTAATTCAATTTATATTTCTTGCAATAATAAATTTCTTATTCTTTCTGCGTGGGAGCCCTCCGATTCACACTGTCAGCAGAGAAGGGAGCGTGCAGGGCGAATATGTTTGTTTCTATCAAATATGTATCATCTGCTAGTACTGCGGAGCTTCCTGGTAGGCAACAAGGCTTTGTTTCTCATTGACACAGCTTACTTCTGTCACCTCTGGCACATTCGTAGAAGCTATAATTCTGGTATCTCAGTCAGCCCTTGTGGCACGATAAATGTACTTCATATCAAAAGCGACATCCACCGCTTCCTTCAAAACGTAAGGGTGAGCGCAGAAAGTCTCGATGCAAGTGAAGAACCTTCACAGGAATGATTACCGTTACCGGCGATTAAAGAGGATCTGACGCTGTTGCGTCGACGAAGAGTTTGCAGCTACCGAACACAGTCTGCTGCCAGTTCTTACCCCCTCGGAAGATAGTAAAGAACGTCGGGCTCATTCAATATGCTAGATCACATCTGTCCCATCAAATCGGTCCATCTTGGGGATGTCTTCTCCACAAAAGTCCCGCACGTTATTGCCCGTCACCCCCAGCTTGTGGACCACAAGAGCGACGTGCTTTTACTCCATCAAAGACATTACCGATTATACCAATATCGTAATTTAAAAGAGGATTTTATTTTCAATCCCTGCCCTCATAGGGCCGAACGATCACCATCAGCGGCCTCGCGATGGGAGTCATCTGTACTTCCTCCGACACCCCGTCGGGGTGTTCATGCAGGGGTTTTATCTGTGCTAACTCGGCGCTAATGAACTCAAGACGAGCGATTATCGCTTCCGGTCTTTTGGTCGCTACTATTCAAATCTTTTTGAGATTAAGGACAGCCACAGGCTTACTAAGTGTATTTTTCACCCCAGGATGAATAGCCGAACAGCTCGTGCTCCATCCCCACACAGAATATAATCTTTCAACGACTCGGTCGACGGATTTACTACATGTACCATCATCTCCAAGCGGATACTACCGTAAACCTTGCACATAGTAAGCTTTGACTCAATGAGTCTGCGTATGCAGCTCACACAAGTTGAACTTGTAAGCTTTACCTTAGATCGGAACCCGAGAGCTTATGAGTACCTATGCACTTAGTTTGATTCGCGATTTCGATAGCAATATATTTGAATGTGAAGCTTTGATTTGCTTAATACCAGAACTTTTGTTATTGCGCTGATTGCCATGACTACAATACGTAGGAATATTCACAATTACACAAAAGTGTATTGTGGTACACCTGACATTTGTGCGAAATACATTATTGTATTTCGTAAATGTACATAACATATTCACATAACTGCCCAATTAATAATCCAATCTAATGGTGTTCACTACATCATTTAGCAATGGCAAAGCACCACCCAGACCTTGTAATGTGCCGTAAGCAACCAGGCGTGGCTATCGGTCGTTTATGTGAAAAAGACGACGGAAAATGCGTGATCTGCGACTCGTATGTTCGTCCATGTACATTGGTTCGAATCTGTGATGAATGTAATTATGGATCATACCAGGGCCGCTGCGTTATTTGCGGTGGGCCCGGGATCTCGGATGCCTATTATTGTCGAGAGTGCACACAATTGGAGAAAGATCGTGACGGTTGTCCCAAAATTGTGAACTTAGGTACTTCCAAGACGGATCTATTTTACGAGCGCAAAAAGTATGGCTTTAAGAAGCGTTGAGTGCGTCATTCTTCACTGACGGCAGACAAGATTTGTAGGTAGAGTGAGTGAATGAAATAAAGAAAGATTTTTTTCTTTATTTGACAGTTAGAGCAATGTACGAGACTGACGGCTTGTACCAGCAGCAATAGTGGTGATTTCTCAGGCTACTTGTTGATAACAATGCGTCTTAATCTCATTATTTACAAGTGTTCTTGTCAACAAACACTAGAATTATGTCATCAACTAGTCACAAAAGAGAAATTTGAGCTATACAGCCTTGCTACATTTATTTGGATAGCGTTTGCTTTCTTGTTATGTGTTTCACGACTTTCTCATTAATCCCAGTAGACACGTTGATCGAATTTACTTACTTATTCCACAGTCAACACCTTCAGCATGTTTGTCGACCCTGAGCGGGCTTCTACCATACCGTGCAAAGCAACAACATTGTCACCAGACTTCACCCAGCCAAACTGCTTTCCAAGATCCGTAGCGCGATAAAGTATCGAGTCCGTTCCAATCATTGAGCCCATGCATCGCGCGGTAACGCCCTTATTAAAGCCCTCGGCCTGGCGTGCAGTCACACCCAAAGCCGTAAGCACCAGCACTGGCATCGAAGGACGAAATTTCGAAACTAGGCGTGCAGTATTGCCAGATTCAGTCAGCACCACAATCATCTTAGCATTGATGTCAATTGCTGTCTTCACTGCCGACGACGTGATGGCTTCTTGTGTATCCATCTGACCATACGTATCAAGTACCGAATTGTGAAGGGCCTGGTACAGCTCGTTATAGTGAATCGCACCTTCAGCCTGCACACAGATTTTAGACATCATAGCTACGGCCTCCGCAGGGTAGTCGCCATTAGCAGTTTCACCCGAAAGCATGACGGCATCTGTACCATCAAGCACGGCATTAGCAACATCTGTGCATTCAGCACGTGTCGGTCGCGGGGCTTTGATCATTGACTCCAGCATCTGAGTCGCAGTTACAACAGGCTTGCCAGCAATGTTGGCTTTACGAATCATCATTTTCTGTGCTAAAAACACCTTTTCAGGTGGAATCTCCATGCCTAAGTCACCTCGAGCGACCATAATTCCGTCCGTCTTGGCCAGAATCTCGTCAAAATTCTCCAGTCCTTCCTGACTCTCAATTTTGGCAATAATTTTTATAGCACGACCACGAGGACCAAGTACTTGGCGAATATTATCAATATCCTGGCCTGTACGTACGAACGAGGCGGCAATATAATCAACGCCGTGCACGAGAGCAAAATTTACCAAATCATCTTCATCTTTTTCCGTAAGCGTTGGAAGCATTACTTTACAGCCAGGAAGATTCATGTTCTTTCGCTCACCGAGTATCGCAGAATTGTTTGCACGACAGACAACACTGTCATCTTTGATCTCTAAAACCGTAAGCACCAACGAGCCATCAGCCACGAGAATAGATCCACCAACTTGGACTGACTGAGGTAGCTCTGGATACGAGCACGCAATCTTGGATTCGTCACCAAGAAATTCGTAGTCCGTTGTCAACTCCACAGTCGATCCTTTTTTAATAGAAACCTTGTCCTTATTAGCCAAAAAACCCGTACGTATCTCTGGCCCCTTCGTGTCAAGCAAAATAGCAATGTTTTTATGGGGGCGTGAAGCAAGTGCAGCACGTAGTCGATTAAGTGTCTCAGCATGGCTAGTATGGTCTCCATGAGAGAAATTAAACCGAGCCACGTTCATGCCGCTGTCAATGAGCTCACCAAGTCCCTCCTCAGACCAGCAAGATGGTCCTAGCGTACAAAAGATACGCGTCTTACGTTCCACGCCCTCAACACTGCGCATAATACTCTCAAGTTCGACACCCTGCTGGCTAAGTCCTAATGCACCTGACATGGCTACATGAAGATCAAAATGGAAAGATATTAGTTCTATCATAAGAGTTTGACGCATCAAGCGCCCCCGGATGACGCACTGTAGCAGCGTCCAGCTCCAATCGGCCGAGACATCACACCACCGCCCATGATCGGGGTGAAAATAGATATAACGACGTCATGGGATCATTAATTTTACCTTCAATGCTTCGTCGCGGATAGTCGTTTCTGGCTTTATGCTGGCTTCAGCTAATATCACAATGAGTGCTTTAAGAAGATTGCGACAGCACCGGTGTGAGGATTTTGATATTTAATATTCTAAAAATGAAACGGTGTCCTAATTTATGGCTCACAATAGTGTACTTGGTGTGGTTCGCTTGATGTCTTGGCATCTTAAAACAGTACGTTGAGATGTTAAGTTGAACAAGGAGCAGTTGTCGAGAATTCTATATGCTCGCAAGCAGCATGATTTTATTTTTGTTTCGAGAATATTGTTTAATAAGCAAGTGAATTTGTGGTCGCATCATGCTAAAAGATCGGTATTGTAAGACGGCTTAGTCAGGGGGCATTTGATTCCGATTAAGAGGATTGGCACAATGTTGAGTCGCGGTCATGGAAAATGAGCTCTTTCGAGTGACATTGCTTGTCATTCCGTGCTCGCAAGTATAAGCTCACGAGGTGCGATGAACGGTGTCGCGGTGCTTAATGCCGTTATCACAGAAGACATGGATCTGATTAGCTACCATAAGTGTAACGGGGTTACACGCACCCTGTTACCAGCATGATCACGCATGCCTCTATCTTAAAAAAGAACCTGCTTAGCCGACAGTACCTATCAGTCACGATTAAACTCTTGTACTTGGCTCGACGTTTGTAAGGCGCTTAAAATACTTAAGACAAATTGGACCGCGTCACTCGTACCGGCAGCTTGAGCAATCTACATTATTTCGCCTCCGTGCTTACGTGTGATAGAGTTAGCTAGACACCGCGTGTGGAGGCAAAAGCCACTGCTTAAGCAAACCGTTTATAATGACAACAAGTATTCAATACAATGCCGTTACATACGCAGCGTACTTATCAGACTTTATCCTCTGTGAGGATGGAACATAAGATATTCGTCTATATGTCCACGCGACAACTAATCATGCTGAGGAAGCTTTCGTGTATTGTTGACCTCGAATGGATGCAGCAAATGGAAAGCCGAAGGGCTAAAAGCGGCAATTGCTCACCTGGTGGCGCTAGCTATGAGAATGCGCTAGTGATACACCTTCAGGAACGCAGCAGCCGGGCGTCGGTAAGCGCATAGCCGGCTCCCCCGAGCGAACAGCGAGAAAAAGCCGGGTGGATTCCTATACCAGGATAGCGGGAAATTTTCTGTTATAAACTTACTTCTGGTGACTAACTGCCCCATGTGATTTTTATTTGTGTAACACGAAAAAATATGTTCTGCTCATTTTATCGTAGTCAATACAGGACACACAATTTGTTACACATTTACCCGACACATTTATCGAGGATCTTAGATCATCCTGTGATGCCATAATGGTGTTTGTAGTTCTCCATAACCGGTGCATTGCCTCTTTTCGCTGGAATATGAAATCAGCCGAAACGAATGTTTTTTGCTATCAAGACGCGTCTAAATCCTTGGCAAGAATGAGTCAGAACTTGTTGGATGACTTGGTATTTAACTCATCGTTGGAAAGATCACAAATTTTCTCTTTGCGAGCGCTCCGTAGGTTTTGATAGGGCTAAACAACCTCGGACACGCTTTTTTGTCGCGTTCTCTGTGTGTAACATGATTCGTTTTACACTGCTTTCCGCCCCACAATGAATTTATGCCTCACTACTCCTATTTATAAGGGCGTAAGGCGTATTATGGTTATAAATACAAGAATAAATTAATTGACAATGTTAGCTTGGCAATTTACAAGCTATATATAGTACCACCAATCCCAGTTTTACAACAGCTAAATTCCGACCGACATGGATCTTGCGGGAAGATGTAGAGTCCTAGTGGTGCACGACAGCCGACATGACAATTCTATTGTACCGCTGGAGCTCTAGATCATTGAAACCTAGCCTTAGAGACGAGCATTCTTCAAAGAGAGGTGAAATTGACAATACAGGCTTGTTGATTGTTAACATCTAATATTTTGAAGAAGTCCTGATCGATGCAGATGCGCCAAACAATTGTTCAGAAAACGCTACAGTTGTGAACATCAGAGCTTACGCAGAGGCTTACACGTACCCTTTGGGGTTGCCGAGCGCGGAAACCCTGTCCGTGCGTCTCGAGACGAGTTAATTTTTGAAAGTGCCGTACGACCCCTGATCCGCTTTTGACATTTTTGTCTCAGATAGCGTAAAGCTCGCATAATCCTGCACCTGGATATGACATATGATCACATCCTAGGTATGGCCTGGCTGGAACTACACTAGCCATGTACCTAAATGAAGTTAAACGCATAGTGATGTTACATAGTACACTGATTGAACAACTAACTATCTCTGTCAACTCAAAGTTGTCGTGAAGAAGCGAGGCACTTAAGGTCGTTTAGGTAAAGTACGCGATGAATTTTTAGATAAATTTAGGTTCTGCATCATCATGTGTCGATGTAAGATCTTTGGGATCTTAATTTATAGGCATAGATAGCACAACAGGCCCCTTTGTTCGATATCAAAGTAAATTTGAGTGAACAATTCTGCTTAGGAGGAGCTCAAACAACCGCATACGTTTCCTCAGCGGGAGACACCACCACCATTGAGCCAATTCGAAGTGCAAGGCCTCGGCGCTCGAGTCACACGGTATTAAAGCACTAAGAGAATACTAACTCCAGGGTGCATTGCCGGCAAAACGCTCGTCGCAGTTTGCGGTTAGCGCTAGCGCTCAGGCATCCATAGCCAAGTTCCCCTTTGGTAGATATAAATTCCAGAAACGCTTAGCTTTGCAATCATGGCGCTAACAATCGAAAGCGTCCTATTCTCTCGTCGATACTCGTGCACATCCATAAACTGATTAGATAATTTATAAAGGAGGAGAGCTAAAAGTCCTATCCAAAAGGTCACTCACGATTTCGATGCGCAGCAGGCTACGTGAACAAATGGGTGATCGCACATTTCGCGATGTATACTAGCTCTACCTTATTCCAATCTAGCATGTTCTGTAGGGCTAAGTGGAAGCTGATCGGTGTGTGCTCCTATCGCCACAGCAAAAGTCTGCTAGAAATATTAGTCCTCGTAAACATATAAATACACGTGTATTTTCTAATTGAACATGAATATACTTGGGTGATTCCTCAGAATATCTCCTCGTGTGCTCAGACCAGACCCTCTGCTGATCAACGATCTAGTGGATGGCAACGCTTGGTCAATTCCTTGACGAATGGGATCTTTGCATTAAGTCTGCTTGTGAAGCGGGTAAGGCAAATCCCACTCGGACATGCCAAGACGTGATCGTAAGTCATAAACAAGAAGCGCGCGTATGGGTGAGCCAACCTGTACCTGTGATACAGCACGCAGTCAAAACCTACTCTCGAAGGGTCTGTTTCTTCCTTTCCAGAAAACAGCAACCCCTGGGAATCACCCCGGAGCCGGCCATACGGCTCCCATACACTCCGTCATTCGGGATAGCTTTGCCACTTTACGATTAGGTGGCACTTTTCTTATCACATAACATGCTCCATATGATAGTGAAAACAACCAGTCTGATTCAGAAGAGCCTGTGGTGGCTCTCCCGCATCATTAAAACGCCTGGGCACGACATACCTTTTAAACCCTTGGTCTCTTCCTTAAAAAGAAAAGGTTCAGCTCCTTCGGGACCGAGTGTATGCCTTCGAACAACCGGGGGTCGGTCCTGGCGAGCGAGATGATCTGCTCAGCATTTGTAGAAGCATAGACCATCCGGGCTCCTTGTGCTCCCTGTAGCTTTTCCGACTGAAAGTCCCAAAATCCAAATGATCGCATCGAGCTGCGCGCTCTGGCGTCAAGTCTACACGCCGAAAAGAATGATCTTGAAGACGTCCGATCTCGTTTATCGTGCCGAAAGTTGCATGCATATGTATGCGCGATCCACACCTTGTACATATTCTAACGAGTTGGGCGACCGTAGTCTCCGAGCCAGAAAGGACTAACTCTGAATTTGAATCAGGGATACGGCCTTACAAGCTTTTGGCTTAAGGAAATCTTCTGACCACCAACCTAGGCAACCTAATCAAGAAGGTATTGGTTCTTCTTAAGACAGCCTACTTGGAACGCTGGCTGGACGTCATTATCGTTGATATGTCAAGGGTATATGCAGAGCCATGATGTACCAAGTCTCTCAATGGTCCGATCAAGCGTGGCTCCAGTTTGGTATTCCCGACAAGCAACATTCGTTGTAATGAGGCAAATGCTGATACCACTCTAAATCAATTTTACACATTTGAAAAAAGTTGTACACGATCCAGTATGGTACAATTTTAGGGAAATTGCGTTAAACTTGGGGATACACGTTGTCTACCAGCCACGCGCTTATATATAGTTATCTTATGCAAAGTAGCAAACTATATTGGTCTAAATAGAATTGACCCTAAACATGCTCTCTTGTATCAGCAGAGCAAACAGAAAATGTTAGGTACCGCAGTAGGAGCACACAATTCTAAACTCGGTAAGTGTGTTGAATCTGAGAGTCAATACTTCCTCTGTGCACAGTGAACAGCAACTTGGTAACACTTGTAGTCAATCCCATAACTGAAAGAATGATAGTTTGTATCCTCCGTGAGGACGGAACATGATATGCTCAAACACATGCCCCCAGGACAAATAATACCATTTTTTCAAGTTATGAGTATTCGTGAGTCCTCGTGATAACAAATGATTGGCGGCCATAGAATCGGAAGTGATAATCGAGGCATTCTCCAGCTTTGAGCATTCGCAATGTGTCACGTTGGTGAGCGTTCATACCGAGCACAGATGAAAAAACAGCGATTTTCACCTTGAAGCCGCTGATGCTGAGCGTTCATACCTGCGAAGGCTAGGACGGATACAATAACTTTTACTGGATTAGAAAAGTTGATCTGACCTTCGATTTAGCAATGCGTCAGGCAAAGTAACAGCGCGTCGCACTCGCGGTCGTCAAGCTATGCAATCGCGCGCAAGAATAGGCACCAACGCGCTTTAGAAAAGTCGTTTTCAAAGGAAAACGAGTTGAAGCAATACACGTCGCTGGTGTTCACGCCGCCTAACCGAGCGTATCGAGTGCGTTTGACGATCTTGTCTACTCGCCAAAGGGGGCTATAGCTAGCAAATGATGCCAAGGTTAGCAAACTCTCATTGCCTTTGTAGCGTCAGAGCCTCTCCTGGTGGCGATAGTGGTTTCATTCTCATGTAGGGTCCCAGGACAGGCGCGGCTCGCACCTTTAGTGACCACCATGTCTTTTTCAAGATAGCGGTAGGCGTCAAATTAATGCGGGGCGACTCTTACGTGCGGCAAGAGCCAGATGGAATGCTGAATATACAAGGTTTACGAGCGACCTAGAGGCGATGGTCATAAGCCAAGCTGGAAAAGAACAGAGAGATCTTCGCTGCTAAGCAGTTTTGGCGTAGTGCCGTCAATCTGTTTCTTACGTACCCCTATCACCGTCGATTCAGAGATACAAAGAAGCCGGGCTTCCGATGAAGGGCGACGACTCACTCGCGGGAGAACATTGAGTTCCAGTTGGGGCAAAGTGGACCTTTGGGATAGAAAGGGGTACTATCGTACCTTATGGAAGTCGTAGACGATGGAACTGAGCCATTAATCAACGTTTCTTTTTCTGAGAGAGCTGGGACTCATGGCCATATATTGCTAGCTGTTGATCTCAACGTCCCGGGCTTTGCGAAGCCCTGGGATTCCGATCAGTTGAAAAGCGTTGTGCGGTTCTGTGGAGTTGACAGTACGTGGAGGCATTAATGTGAATTTGATTCAGTGCATCCTGTGTAGATGATACTGTTAAAAGTGCCGAAGGCGAAGAGAATACTGGTAAATGGGTCGAAATGTATATACAATCTTCAAGTGAAGTTCAAGGGGATTGACATCTCGAAACGTGGTCAATACTGGAGCTACATTCGTAATCCGATTTCATTTTAGGCACGGCGTGATTGGAACACCACAAGCCATAATTTATACGAAGTCAACGAAGTTGTGTCCTGCGCTCTTATCCCCAGGTAAAACATAAACCCCACGTTGTAATATATAAAATCAAATTTAACGCATAAAGCATTGACAGCTTCTATGCAATTTATTTCAAAAATTGATAGAAATAGTGCTGCAAGATACATCGAGCAGAGCTCGGAAGACCCTCGAGATCGAGGGCTCGATCCACTCCACTGATGTCGCTGAAATTTTCAAGAAGTAAGCAAAACTTAAAAATGCTTTTCAGTAAGCTGAGTTCTCAGCATGAGACCAACATGGTCGATTGTATACCGATGTTTCAGAATGTATCTCTGTAGAGCCGAGAGAGTACAACTGTATGTCGCGGTCTTTAAAGTGCATATCTGGTGATATCAAGAACAGTTGTGAGCTATTATCTCCTGCGTCATGGCTGGTGGAGAGTAGAAGTGGCATGTTTTAGTCACGCAGCAAAAAGATACATTGGAGCTCACAGACGACTGTAAGTTATGGGTAGATGGACCAAGCCTGAAGATAGTAAGGATTATTCATCCTTGTCATGATTTGACAGTCCTAACGTGTGGAACATAGGAGCTTCACGAGTAGAGGCAAAAATCTGCTAATTGGACAAGTCTTTATTGCTGATGAAATCACATTCTGGTTGGTTACATTTCAAAGCACGGCGCAACTAGATTCCGCAAGGATATGGACTATTGTAGATTGACCAATGGTCATCTTTTGATAGGATTTCAGGATGTGGCGTGGCCTGACCAACTCTTCGCATAAGTATAGCGTAAAGTATGCCGACAAGACACGACCCCTCGCCCATCTCATTAAAAGCGATCAATGCGGCGGAAGAGACGGCCTTTACGGTGATTAAAGAAAGCTAATGCGTGCATCGATTCTGTCTCGTAGATCGGCCATTCAACGTCTTCTGTGATGCTTCAGTTTCCGCAATAGATTGCACTTAGCTTCGCGCCAATGGGGATGAAAACGTGATTGCGTATGAGTATCGCCAGTTTAAAGCAGCAGACCTGAATCACTCTATCGACGACAAGGAGCTACTTGCAATGAGGTAATCATCGTCAAGTCCAGGGTTTACCTGTTGGTCTTAAGCCGTTTAGTCTATGCATAGTTATGCACAGCGACGTCATCATAACATTCTAAAAGAGTATATTGCTCTCCGTTGTCGAATATACCTTCAAGGTAAGGTATAAGTCGGGTCGACTCAAACTGATGGCGGATGCACTTTTCCGTTGCCTCGACAATGATATGTTGCATGTCACATTGGCGACGTCGCTTTGGGATGAGGTGATACGCATAGCGTACGGGTTGGACGTAGCATGTGTTAAAATGCCGCTCTATAGAAGAGCGCGATTGGACACTAGCACCGCTATGTCTGCCTTCGAGGCCTGCTGAACTACAGACCCACATTGCACTCAACGTGCAGTGGTGCCTCAAGATTAGAACCTAGTGTACAAAAATCTGTACGACCTCAGCGGGTGACCGCCTCGGAAGCGAAATGCATACTAATAGGTTAGCGTTATTTATTGGTGACACAACATGCACAAGTGGGTAAGAACACATGTGCGCATGTGATGTCAGCGGGTCAAACTTTCTCAGAATGCGGCAGCACCTCTGACTAGCCTGTCGGTTTCGGCAGAGTGCTAGCCTTCTATCAGGATGGCCTTTTTTCAGTCTTCCAAAATACGTGTCCACTAATACCGGTGCTGTGGTCTTTATCAACTGTTTAAGCAAGATAGCTCATATTCTTGCTGTCAGCGATAGTGTGATCCGTGGAAATTTATCCAGTCGATTCCTCAACAATATGTGTCGCTGACATGGCTTGCCGGTAGCCATTGTATAGGATAAAGATCTGCGCTACACAGCGAATCTTTGCGAAGCATTATTGATAGTGCTCAGCACCGGGTCGGATATATTATCCGCTGACCATCTGTAAGCAAAGGATCCGACTAAACGCTTTTATGTGTTGTAAATAATATCCAACGGGGCACTTGCGTGGAGATAACACGGATACTGGAGCTAGTTGTTCCCACTAATGAGTTTGCGCTAAATATAGCAGTACATATCTCCATGGGCATTACTTCACTTTATATAAAGAATTTGGTTGACCTCCAGGTGCCTTTGGCACCACCACAAAGTGCATCAGGTCTCAAATGGATGTGGCTTTTGATCAAAATCAACTTGCTGATAAAAGTCGGGATGCACTTTTAGCAAATCGATATTGAGATTGAGCATCGTACACATGGTGCGTGACGCGATGGATGAGTGTCAAGACAAACAAAAGCAACACCCCGATGCTAGAGGCAGGCAAATACACACACCTATGCTGAATGCAGTCAGCCTACCTACACATACCTTGTATGCGGTTGATAAAAATAAGTTGCGGTTGCGCTACATATGACAGTCCGAGGTCAGAGCAACAAAGGGTTAACAATACTTTAAATATGCATACACACCCAGTCTTCTATGTGAGCTCACTGAAGTCTACCAAGATTGGCTCTTATGATACAGTCGGACGTCAAGAGCTCTGTAGCAGACCATCCGCTGCAGCTAACCTATCATCTGCTCCAAATAGAGACGCAATATCAAATCGCTGGGGTACCTCAAGTTAGACAGTGCGATGACGAAGCTCAGCAAGCAAATTTGCAATTTGGCTCAGCTCAGCCTCGGAAGAAACATACCGTGATCTCGGAGAGAGTCGACGTGCCACCACGACCGAATTGATTTAGTGCGATCCAGCCGCGGAAGAAAGGTTCGTCTCTTACGTGAACAATCACGGCGGATGTGACCGAATTATTGACATCCGTAGCAGACAATTTGTGCCTACGGACAGTTGCCGCGCTAAGATTTAC